CCCCCCCCCCCCCCCCCCCCCCCCCTTCCTACCAACCCCCTTCGTCTAATCCGACCATCCCCTTGTTCTGCTGCGTGCATCTACATCAAAGCCAGGTGGTCTCGAAGCGCATCCCGCAACAAGTCGCCGTCCACGTTGGTGCACTTTCGTCGCCCACCACCGTCGTTCCCCACAATGCCCAAGTCGACTCTGCGCCGAACGCCGTTCTCATCAACCTCCCACATGAGGTTCTCGTCGAAATCGACACCCGCGTCCAGGAGGATGTTGTAGAGAGTGCAGACGGCCACGAATTGTTGTGGCAAGGTTTGAAGGTCCATCTTGTGGGTGCGCAAAAAGAGACGCCACACGCACTTCAGTCGCCCAAACGCCCTCTCCACACACCCCCGCGCCACCTTCTGCCACGTGTCAAAACGCTCTTCGTCCGGACCCTGGAAGATTCCTCCGTACGGTTGGATGATACACGGACACGCAACCAGGTAGCCGTTGTCGCCCAGCAAGTAACCTCGCGTAACCACACCGTGTGGGAGATTCTCCAGAGGTGCATCGAAAAGGTCGCCGCTTTCCGCACGCCTCCACAGATGGGAATTGTGCAGTACACGAACGTCGTGGACACTTCCCGGATATCCGATATGGACGTCCAGGATACGCAAATCTAAATCGACGACGACCTGCGCTTGGACGGAGAACTTTTGTTTGCGGTTGTAGTAGTTGACGGACGGTGCTCTTGCTGGCTTGTCAATGTAGATATGGGTGCAATCGATGGCGTCGAAGCAGTTCGGGAAACCCTTATCTCGGAACGCACGTAGAATCTGCGCACGTCTACGCCCAACAGGCCACTTGATCGCGTCGGGGTAGGCGTTTAGCAGCGCCGCAGTGACGTCGCGCACGGCCTGCAGGCCGGTCGCCCTGCCGATACTGAAGGCTGACGTCCCGCTCTCGTACGTTTCCCCCGGCGGTGGACAAGCGCGGCCAAGTCCGCGGCCGCGGCCAGTCCGCGAAGTCCGCGGACGTGTCCGCGCGGACGCGCGGATTTGCGGACACGTGGCGGCCGCAGGGGAGGGGGTTTCACAAATCTGGCGGTGCCACGTGGCGGCGCATCCCCTGCCCCACCCCCACACACACAAAAAAAAACGAAAAATATGAACTTATGGTGGGGGGGGTATGGGCGAAATCCAACGAAATTGGGAAAAAAAAAAACGCGTTTTTTTTTTTTTTTTTTTTTTTTTTTTCCCTTTTTTTGATTAATTGATTGATTGATTGATTGTTTGATTGATTGGTGGGGGCAGGGTCGCCCTGCCCCACCTTTGATTGGTTGATTGATTGATTGATTGATTGATTGATTGATTGATTGGTGGGGGCGGGGTCGCCCCCCCCCCACGACCACGGGCGCACACACACACACCTGTCTCTTATACACATCTA